CTTATTGGAACCGTAAAGTATATTAACTTAGGTTGCAACCCCTGGAACTCTACACGGAGCTACAACGCTAACTGCAACAGACAGAGTCCAACTAACTTTCAAAACTTGCCAACTGTGCCCACATCAGGCCTTTCAGCTTTGTTCTGATCAGCAGGTCTCTCTCTAGGCAAGGAGCAGCGGTGACAACAGCCAGTCTTTTGTTATAAATCACTTTGATTATGATTTTACTTCTCATTTTAACCTATGATGCTTGACATAAAATCTACCTGCTATTTACTAAACCTCTAGATTGAGCAAGTAAGGAGACATTAAAAAAATCAACATGAAACTAACTATTAGTAAAACGTAAATAAAATGTCACTTACTTCTTTCAAATATGCTGAACTATTATAAGTGTAAAATATTTAATTGATAAATTTCATAAAGTATATTGTATGTTCAAACTTAATAATTATGTTAATTAAGTTATGTTTAATAATAATGCATCCTACTTACGGATCTATTTTATTTTTTGGATGGTATTACAAAAGTGAAATTCAGGCATAGATAATATTTTTAATTGAATTTATTAATTTGCTATTTGCTCATAGGTTCTTAATTTTTTCGTTAATGGTCCTTAAAAGTACTTAATTTCCCTGTGCAGAAATGCGTATGAACCCTGTAATTATTTTCCCAAACTAGAAAGTCTTTATACATTTTGCTTTTCTTAAATTAGAAGATTTTTTTCTATGTATTTTCACTTTAAATATATACTCATAGCATCATAACAGTGTTTTAAAAGTTACTATTGATGTCTTCATTTCAAAAGTGATATGTGTAATAACATCTGCTTTTGTTGGAAGAATATCAATATGACTGTCTTTATAGTCTTTCTTGATAAAAATTTGATGAATCAGTCATTCAGTTCATTATACTATGCAAATGCATATTCTAGAATCAAAAATGACTTTTAAAGATATATGTAAGATATACTTAAGTAAAATCTACTTGCATTTTTATAATTGATTAATACTAATGTTGCTGTTTAATAGTTTATAAAATAATAAAAAAAATTAATTCAATCAAAAGAGTAAAATTTGCACACGCTGTTTCATAATACACAATTAAAAATTCTAGTTGTATATTTTATACACTACCCGACATTGAAAATGCAACACCAAGAAGGAATGGCCCAAAAATTATATAATTTCAGGGTAGACGCACATAAGAATATTCAGGCTTTGTGCCATTAGTTTTGCTAGGGAATCATCGTAGAAAGTTTGTTCGTTGCTGTCTCTGTCTGTTTTCCGAGTTTCATCACTTTCTGGCCACTCCTTCATGGTATTATATTTTTAATGTCGGGTAGTGTAATTGTACATGTTACATATGCAAAATACTTTTTGCATATGTATGTTTTAAAACATCTGAAAAGTATTTCCCTTACTCTATATAATCTGCCATTTCTTTGAATTGTATTTTATCAGTCTGACATAAATTTCAGTCAATTATGATAGGAGGCATTTTATAATTTTTTCGTCTTTTAAAAAATTGTTTTAAAAGTAAAAGTTAAATGCCGTGAAGACAATATTTTAGTGAAGCATTTTAAAGCACTTTTACAATGAAGGACAATGGCAAACTGGTGGGATTAATGCTATGCTATTTGGAGATCATATTCTGTATAAAAGGAAACAATAATATATGGTATTTGAAGATAAATTCATTTAATGTAATAGATCTATTTGAATGAATCTTTTTATCCAAATTAATACTTGAAAATTAAGTGGGCTCTTTTTACTTATTATAACATAATTTAGAAATAAATCTTAAAAATGCTATTTTTTTTATTTAAAAAATGCAGTATTATTGTAGCAGGTCAATGATAACAATGTTTTTTTCCTCTCGCAAGAGCCTTATTAGTGAAATTTTTATCATACTGGAAGCAATGGTAGAATAATATCTTCTATGTCGTTGGACATCACCCGCCAGAAAGGAAATTGATTAGTGACTCTGATTACTTTACCAAAGGGCTTAGGTTCAATTCCTGAAGAAGGCATAGATGTAAATTGTCTGTCCCTTCATAAGAGGCAAAGTGAGTCCACCTTTTAGGTGCCTCCCTAAGAAAGTGACTATTGCTTCCATCCTTAATAATGGCAAACTCCTGTAATGGCTAGTACCTGCCACTAAAAATAATAATAATAATAATACACATTGTTACATGATTTGGTATTTTATAAAATTTGACATTGGATGTAATTTTTATAACATCAGAGTAGGAGCAGTAAAATAGCTTATTTGGGATGGCAGAGCCTATCAGTATTATTTAAAATAAGAATACTGTTGGCATTATATAATTAAAATATCTGTATCCTCAACTCTGAATAGCTGTTATAAGAAAAAGTATTCTTAGAATATTCATTCAGTGAGTGAATAAATTTTTAATTCATTGGAATAATTCCAAAGCTAACTTTCATGGTTAATCCTAAGGGCAGTTCATGAAAGGTGAATAACTCAGTAGCAGGAAAATACTATTAATAATGTTCTTGTATTTTTTAGAAGTTTAATTTGGAGAGTAACTTAACTTGGTTACATTAATTAAATCAGTATTCAAAACATCCAAAATTACAATGAAATAAACATTATTAAAAATAAAGAAACTAAATTATAAATAATTTCAAGAACACAATTAACAGAGAGCTTGAATAATATCAAGTTCAGACTTTGTGTAAAAACATCAGTAGGAATTTTATTTTAGCAGATGTTTTAACTGCTTATATATTTCAGATTACACACAATTAAATTACATAATGTTGTGGGTAAAAACATCTGTACTAATGCTATGGCATTATCTACTATTACTCTTGTAATCATATTAATTTGTCATTTCCTCTTTGTTTTTCTTAGTTTTATTTTATTCCAATTGTTTGTGATAGATATTTTATCATTATTATAATAAATAAAATTAGCTTTCCTTTTAGATCAGGCCCATGTAATCTGTTCCTGTTAAATCAGAAGCTGACTGTATTGGCAAACTCTGCTTGCAGTCTGGTAAAAATTGAGAACATTTGTAACCCGAAGTTTTTTACAATATATGACATCTTACACTGTAATTAACTATAGGTACTACATATGTCACACTGTGGCCTTGTGACATCTTCATTTTCTTGTTTGCAAAATTACATTGAATGACAAGTAAAGTTTCATATAATCTAAATAAATTTCATTAACTTTGTTCAGCTTTATTGGAACCAGCTGTGTAATTAATTCAGTAATAAAGCATCTAATATTTAGTCATAAATACTGTTACAGATTTGGTATTTAAATAGCTAATGTTAGTAGAATTATAAATAAAATTGTTTTATTCCCTGTGTAGTGCAGCACGTGAGGAATATTGAAAGAAAGCTAAGCCGGAAAATAAAAATACAAGAGCACTCACATTTAACATTTAATAAATATCTCTTTTTGATTTTGAGAAATTGCTAGAACAATTGGGTGCATGATTTAAAAAACTTATAAAAAGGAGGAAAACCTTCAATTCAGTTGGTTGTTGTTTTAAGAATTTGTTTAGAAAACTGCTCTTGTTGACTGTAGCGAATTCTAGGATTAGCTCTCTCTAGCTGTTTTGAATTAAGTTCTGTTGAACATTTGAGTAGTTACTATTGTGAGGTATTATAATACTGTATGAATATCTGAGGAAATTTAAGCATTTTGTTTTTATTTGTTGTGATAATAATAAATTTTGTTCAGTTTTCATCGGACTTGTGCATTCAGTTCATAATGAACCCGTACACACGCAACGATCCATTACTCCAAACAATAATTTGAGCAAAATTTGTAATTTTCTGTGAACAGTAATCACATTCAGTAAATAAAATTAAAGGGTTTTGTAATATTTTTGCTTAAAGAATTAACTGTGTTTCAAAGGTTTCATATTATAATTTGTATTTTTACGTGAATTATTTTTACATTAATCGAAAATTAATACAGTCAAAAGTCGTTAATCCGAATTCATCGGATCTAAAAGGTATCAAAATTTACAAAAAAAAAAAAAAAAAAAAAAGCTTAATATTTATTTGTTTACTTTATTAAACATTTCTTTCGATGTAAGTTGTTTAAGTTGCTTTGTTTTATGTGATAATACTTTCTCTTTAATTCTATAAACAGACATAATTTCTTCTTCAGTTACAAAGTTCCGCTGTTGAAGTCCTATAATTGCTGTGTCTAGAATACTGACTAATTTGTCAATCGAAATTTTTTCGTTTTCAATAACCTCTGTGTCACTTTCTTCACTATCGGAAGCGAATTATAATGATGAGGAATTTGATTTAAATCATATCAAAGACGGAGTACATCGATATGAAATACTACATTTAGTAAGGAATTATAAGCCAAATAAAATAAAAAAATCTACCCTGAAGATAAGGATAGTGCTGACAAATCAACTTCCAATTCATTGCGTCCCCCCCCCCCCCACAGAGCAGCGTGAAATTGATAAACAGGTTTCGGAATGCTTAGATAAACAAAGGATATGCCTTTATCCATTTTTTGCAGCAGTTCCACTTTTTGTTTAATGGACTTCGAAACATACTTTCGCTTTGTAGATCCTTTACATATTAGTAAATATATATCGGAAATTCTATTTGACATAATCGAAAGTTCAAGCTTACTTTTATAAAATTGCTCTAACAGTCTGCAAAAAATAATATGCTGGATCCAATTCGAAGATTAAGGGACAACGCAATCTGCAACATTAACTGAATTAGATAATTTTAGCTTAGCTTATACCATCTGTTATACATTAAACACGCATACGTAAAGGTATTGTGCTCATGTGCACGTGCACACGCATATTCGCAGCCGTAAAGGTCTTACGTCAATGCGACGCATTGCGTAAGAATTGCGTAAGAAGCATGCGCAGAAAGTTTGTAGTTTTGAGGTCCGGATTATGGGCATCCGAATTAACGACTTAATTATTGACCTTTGTTTAATTATCCAGAAAATTTATTGGTTTTTATTTGATACAGGTTTACAAGAGAATTTGGGTGTTATGAACAATGGAATTGTTTATGCTGTTTATGACTATGAAGTTCAAAATGCTGATGAGCTCAGCTTCAAGGATGGAGATATGTTAACAGTTTTAAGGAAAGGTGATGATGAAGAAAGTGAATGGTGGTGGTCTCGCTTGTTAGATGAAGAAGGCTATGTACCTAGAAATTTATTAGGGGTAAGGTGATATTTTATAATTTAAAAAATATTATATTGCATGTTTTTGATATTCTGCGGGCTCCTTTTGCTTGTTTATGTAAAAATCTCAGTATAATGTATGTCATATTCATAATAATTAATAAACTCTGAAGCTTTAAAATTGTGAGTATTTTTAGGGGAAACATTCCTAAACACAGGACATGACACTTGAATGTTCACTTACTGTAAAATATTTTCTTTTGTTGTCTGTATTTAACGTAGCAAATCACTGTTGCTAATATTGTTTCAGTTTAAATTCAAGTATTGAACAACAATTGTTTTATATAGTCCTTAATAATTTTGACATGGAGAACATTTGTACACATTTTTTTTTTTTTTTTTTATCATTGTAAAAGTGTAAAACTAAACCATGAATTAAGATACAGCACATTAGAAATAAAAGATTTGAAGATTAAAAGAATTTGATTATTCACAGTTATGATTTAATTGTAAGTAATCTCCAAATAATATATGCTTGTCTTTTTCAGCTATATCCACGTGTGACGAGTAGAAAAGCTTAAGAAGATTTCTACATATTTAAGAATCTCAAATGTTTGTGCCTTTCAAGTGCCATGATCTTCGTAAAGACCTAGGAGTATTGCAGATAGTGCCAAACAGGCCCCTAGTTGTCATTCCGAATTTCAGCTTATTGCCGTCCTTTTGACATATATTAAATTTTGTAGCATTGCTGAAACTTTGCCATCATATATCGTACCTGTTTTCAAATATGTGCCTAAGTATTGTTTTTTTTTTCTGTGTGCATGTGTGTGTGTTTGTAATTATGTGCTATGTTTATGGATGATTGACCCAATGAAATTTGCCATGTGTAATAAAGTGCCTGAAATTTTAAATAAGACAATAAAGTTTTTAATGCATCATATGTCTAATTATTTTACTGACTGGAATGTATCAGTCATTAAAACTTTTGTGTTCTAATTTACTTTCCTGTGTTTTTAGTCTACATTTAGGGAGTTTTTCATGATTGTCTCAAAATATTTTCCTTAAAACTTTTGCATCTTCATTTAAAGTATTAGTTAAAATTCAGAGTTTAATAATGTAACTATATTTTTGGCAGTACAAGGTATAGTTAAGAAAAATTCCTTGCATAACTAATACATCGCATAGGTCATAAAATAGTATTTATAATGAATTTCAATGTGTTGAAGTGGAATGATAAATTCTTTTTTACTTTCTTTTCATTAAAATTATTTTACTTGTGACACTGAGCTGGGCCAAGAAAATTGAAAATCATTCTGCTATGATCTATGCACTAGCTCATTTCATGGACATTAAAAAGATGTAAATGGTGAATGGCAGGATTGGGAGGAGTTTGTCTCACTTGCTGCAGCATCCTGGACTCCCATACAGGGTGGGAGATATTTTATAATCTCTCTGACACACTACAAAGTGTGGGAAGGTTGCCTATGAATATCGTGAAAAGACTGGCTGTCACACTACTCACTTGGACTAAGTTGGATTTTTTTTAATTGAAGGAAAAATAAAAGCCTTAAAAAGTCACCTCATGTACGGAAGCAGTTAGTGCTTATCGCCCTTTTTGAATCATCTATTAAATTATGAAAACTAAAGGTGTTTTTAATTGTGAATTATATATATGGTAAAGATTCTTTCAAGAAACTGGAATGCATTTGACATGTACAGAAAAAGGTTGATATTAGACTGCAAAAAATAAAAAACTCCACTCTTGAATTGGAAGGAAAAGTTAAACTGACTGCTTCTTCTATTGATAAACTGCAGAATTATGGGATTGCAATTATAAGTAATGTTGGAAACTTAATTGAGATGCAGCAGGCTTGGTCAGTTGTAGCTCTTCTTCAAAGCCAATGCATTGTTAATTTCCTTCTCGATCAATGAGCTGGTGCAACTATCAGTGTGCGATTGCAGAAAGAAAAAATTCAGCCAAAAAAAACCTCTATATCAACATATATTTTTAATTTAATTAAACCTACATATATGGAGTTGTGTAAACAAGAGTTATCAAAAAAGTAAATACATAGCAAAACCCAAAACACCAATGAACATTTTAATGGCATTCTATGGCAAATTGTTCCGAAAGAAACCTTCATAAACTTACGAACATTAAATGTTTGGAGCAAATATAAGCGTTGTGTTATTTAATGTTATTTAATGATGGATTTACAGGTTTGCTTGAAGTATTTTTAAGATTAGATATATGTCCTGAATTTTACAGTGAGCAGGGAGTTCAAAAACTTGATAAAAGGCAAAATCAATGACTCTGGCGGCATTCCACAAGTTTTGTAAAAGCGAAAAAAGAAAAATTACGCTTTGTTTGAAAGAAAAAGCACAATGTGTGGGAAACAAAACCAAGGTGTTAGTTACAAAGCAAGGTAATTTTAATCTTTAGAAATCTTTTTTTCACTAAGAAACTGTTCTATAAAAACTTAAAACTTGTTTTCTGAAAAATGCAATTTTCGTAAATAGTACCAATGGTAACTAACAGTAATAACTGAAAATTTTGTGGATAAAATTAAATATTTTCCATATATGTTTCATAGAATCTGATGCAGGCTCTGAAGTGGAAGATTTTAGAAAAATTTATTAAAAGTTGAATTATTGCATTTTATTTTTAGATTTTAAATGTGATAACTATACATTTTGACATATTTCAAGAAAATATGAATAATTCTTAATTATTTCACTTCATTGCATACAAAACAAGTGTAAAAATAAATGCAAATTAAAAAAAACTGTATATTTATTTATGTATACCTTATTCACCATGGTTGTTGGCATAAAGGCAAAATTTAAGCAAAAATTATCCTTTTCTTCACTATTTTCCAAAATTAAAATTACTTAGCATTATTTTTCAAGCTGTTTAATAAGCTTATCTTAAAATTAGTATGTTTAAGTTATAAATGTATGTAGTTAAAAAATGGTACTCGAACAAGTTTGGATACCTTAAACTTAACCCGCATCCACTCGTTGAATGAACATCATTAAGAAGTATTTATTAGTGTGATCTGTTACGATAATAAGATTTGGGTTAAACGAAGCATCATAATCTTTTTTGCAATGAGTTTTAAAGCTGCAGATTATACCTTGATCCAAAGGTTGAAAAATTGATTGTGTTTGCAAGCAGAAATTTGCTTGATGTTAATATTTTCAACATGAAGATGAGCTGGGCAAGTGTCCACTAGTTGTAGAATTTCTCTTTTAGCTATTCTCAGCTTTTGATTCAAATGAACTTCATGAAAAAGGGATGAGTCTTTATTATAGAAATAAATTTCAAGAAGTTGTTTCACATTTTCAAAACATGTGGGTCTCTTTCTTAGCAGATTCATCTTCTCTGACTCTGATATAAATAAAACATATCCATAGGTGTTACTTAGGTTTTCATCATTTTACTACCAACACATTTTTCCATTTTAAATTTCAATGTTTGATGCAGCTTTAATTGATAAAACAGCTCCATCTTGTCACTGTTGAAGATAACATCAGATGAATGCCAGTACAAATTTCTGGCCATTCCAAACTTGACAGTAGGATGCCATTTCTTGATTTACTAACATTGCTTCCCACCTAAACGTTATGCTGTGATAAAGGCAACTTGCAACCGAAGAATATGAATAGGCAAAGGCAAATTTCCATGGGTATAATGTAAACTAGCCTTGCTCACCTCGAGTGACTTTCCAATGAAGCCAGTAATACAGTGAAGCAAATGCACAGGGTCCTGACGAAATTCGTCCAAACTAAATGTAAAGTACAAAGCATGAATCTACTATTTTAAAATTAGTCTTTACTGTTATTTAAATCTTGGAATTTTTATTCTCGAAAATGTTCCATGTGTGCTTTTTTTTTTTTTTTTTTTTTTTTTTTTTTTACAGAAAAAATTTCATTTCACAATTATTTTTGTACTTAAATATTTGATAAGAGGTAACTATTATTTTAATATTTCTAATGTCATGCTATATTAAATTATGCTTTAATCTTGCTATTATATTTCCATAAATAAATTCTTAAATGTAATGATCAAATCAGATCTTTCTTTGATGCAACCATGGTAACTACAAAATCATTTAGTTTCTGTAAATGGCTTCATAAAGAAGGCCTTTATGGCAGATGACCAATCATATTCCGTCAATTGAAGGAATGTTTGCATTGGGGTCTGTCATCTCATCTAGACTACAGATCTATGGTAAAAAATATTGTCCATAGATGAGCGTAGATTTAGTTTGCAGAGCGATAATGGGCATTGGTTGGCACAAAAAGATCTTGGAACCCGTTGTCATCAATCACACATCTTTGGAAAGGGATAGCATCTGTGTTTAGGGTGGTATCCCTGTATGTGGTCTGATAGAATTGCTCATGCACTGGTCATCTTGGTATCTGGACCTGAATTCTATTGAGCACATTTGAAATGCTTTAAGATAATATTACTATTCTCAAATCTCTTAAATCTTGATAGTCTTAGAAGAACTTTGCAACAGTAAAACAAGTCATTCTACGAAGATAAATTCTCTATTCCAGATGTATTTGTCAAATATTTGTGCTCTTAAGTTTCCATCGTGTTTATTTTGAAAATAAAATTACTATCTTGCATATTATTTCACTTTATTTATACTCGATTAACTTTTCTATTATACTAAGTTTCATCACATACAATTTTTAAATTTTTTTTTTTTCCTTTTTTTTTTAACTTTTCCGTAACTCTTGGAAACAAATGCAAGAGGTTAAGAAACTGCCTAGATTTTGATGTTAAATTTAGTTGTTTATTTAATCCCAACGTATTTAAAGTTTGAGTTTATGCTGTCCCTATTAATATATTTGTCATTTAGTGTTATATGAGTGTATATTCACTATATATGTCATTCAGTATTCTATCCTGTAAATATTTAGATATTTTTTCCTCTAAAGTCTTTCAAAGTATGAATTGCAGAATTACAAAATTTTAACCCAAGTATTTAAATCGAAGTCTGAAAAAGGTTGCTTGCAATGTTCCGTGACATTCATAACCCAAAAATTGTCTGTTGACTTTTTTAATAAATGATTAAGTAGACAACTTTTAGAGCTCTTAGCAGATAAACTTTATTTATTATCTCTTGGCTCGATATACATGCATTTTTTATGCGAAATTTTATGTACACATTGCTTCTGAAGCATCTTTACCACTAAAAAAGAAAGTTATTTTTGCGTGTTTTGTTTGCATTATTAGTTGATTGTTTGGTTTGACTCAATAAACTTATGCTCTGTTCATACTCTTCAAGTATTCGGAAATGAGGATGATCAGTCATAGGCACAGCTGAATATGTTTGCAGATCAGGTGCATTATAGATTAGACGTCTGTTCTCTGGTTCATGAACTGGAATGTGAAATAAAGTTGATACCATTTTAGCCGCAAGAATAGAAAGAAGAATCATCAGTAAAAGAATTGCTGCTGCACAGATGAGAACCAACATATCTGCCATACCCCTGCAAAGAAAAACATAAGTGTCATTAGAATTTTTACAGAAATTTCCCTTGTAAAGAAATTGTTATTGTACCAAATCCCTCGTCCTATCTTCACACAGTTTCAAAAATATGAAAATTATACTAGCATTTCGGTGAAATTCATATATAGACTTCATAAAAACCAAGGAGTCGATTGATTTGGGAACATGTAATCATGTATTGGCTAATAAAACATTAACCACTTTGCGTTATGTATAGTTAATCGTCTGCAATGGATGAAAGTTGCCCAGATCGCGAATATATATAAATGGAGGAAATAATATGTCAGTATTTCGTTTCTTCTCGATATGAGAAAAGCGAAAAATTTATCTGATTGAGACAAGGTCTAGGGCGTCTTGATAACTTCTCCGAAACAACAACGCTGATGTCGCCCAGATGGTATAGTAGTTAGGGGAGCTTACTATTGTACCGAAAGGTAAGGGTTCGAATCCCGGAGAAGGTATGGATGTTTGTAAATGTATAGTGTCGGTGCGCATGGCGGCACTCTAAGTATGCGGCCAGTCGAAACTCCTCTCTTGTGGAAGGGGAGAGGGGTAGGAGACCCCCGGGGTGCTGTCTCTCAAAATTGGGAGTGGAAAATAGAAGTCCAACCTTGCTTAGGAGTAGGCTGTGGGAACCATTGTTCCATGTAATTTAGACAAGCCTACAACGCAGGGCATCTTGATAACATTTCCGAAACAACAAAGCCGATAGACTGTTTATATTGTGTTAGGAGTCATCCACTTCCGAACGATAATCGCCCCGAAACTTTTATTTGAGATGAAGCTTGTGAACTAGACTTCAAATTTGAATTTCGCAATCTGTAACGCGGAGAACAGAGCATATGAAGTGGCCAGTTGACGTAATATTTACTGACATGATTAGCAAACATAATTTATGTGAGAAATGTGAAGCATTATGTCATCATCATCACAGATCACTTAACCCATCATAAAATTAACGCGTTTCATATACGAACAGTGTTGAAGCGTTCACCACCAGGTATGAAATGATGACAGTAGATTTTCAGGTAAAACGGAAAAGGCATTAAATACACTCATGTCCATAAATTAAGGATAATTCGGAGTCACGCGGAAATCGAACTCTAAAATAAATATATCACATGTAAAATCACTACACACATCTTCAAGAATCATATGCAAATTTCAGGAAGTAACCAGATGACACCGATTATACGTCACAATGACGAGAGTGATATATAAGGAATGCAGGCAAAGAAGTAAAATTGTTCGCAGGCGCTTTATAAGCATTTCGGTGCAATAACCGAATAGTTATGACACAAAGGACGCATTTGGATGATTTTTTACGTGGTAGAATTATCGGCCGTCTGGAATGTGGGCGTACCCAATTGGAAGGATCAGACGAACTTGGAATTGCCCAGAGTGTCATCTCCAGGCTTTGGCAACGATTCCAAGATGATGGTAATGTGAGTAGACGTTATAGCACAGGTCGCCCCAGAGTTACAACGCCGAATGAGAACCGGTATTTGGCAGTTACTGCCAAAAGAAACAGGCGGAGCACAGCCTCAGACCTGTCTCATCAGCTCTCTTCAGCTACTGGTACGACAATTTCAAGGCAGACCGTGTACAGACGCTTAGGGCAGATTGGTCTATATGCTCGTAGACTTGTCAGATGCGTTCCTCTTACTGCAACTCACTGTCGCCTGCGGTTAGCCTGGAATAGAGAGCATGCATTGTGGACACCACAACAGTGGGCTTGTGTGATGTTTTCCGACGAGTCCAGGTTTAGCTTGCAGTCTGATTCTCACCGGACTTTCATATGGAGAGCTCCAGGTACCCGTTACCACCAAGAAAACATCATTGAACGACACCGTTACGGTGGTGCAGGAGTGCTCGTTTGGGGTGGAATTATTCTGAATTCGGTTCCAGAACTGACCTGTATGTTCAAATTGGAACCATGAAAAGCCAAATCTATCCAGACGTCATTCTAGAACAACATGTACTTTTGTTTCGGGGCGCCATGGGCGCACAATTTGTGTTTATGGATGACAACGCCCGTCCTCACCGTGCAAACATCGTAAGCGAATGCCTTCAGTCTTAGGATATCACCCGTATGGACTGGCCAGCATTCTCACCGGACCTTGAATCCAGTAGAGCTCGTGTGGGACATGTTTGGCCGATGAGTTGCAGCCCGTCAACCTCCTCCTACATGTCTACCGGAACTTCGGAGAGCATTGCTTTTTGAGTGGTGTAATATCTCCCAAGATCAGATTGATAATTTGACACTCAGCATGCCTAGGCATTGTACGGACTGTATTGCATCGTCTGGGAGACATACAATGTATTAACAATCATAGCAACCATGTAATATTGGTTTTTTGTAAATAGGTTTTTTTTTTTTTTTTTTTTCTCTCTTTACCTTTTGTTTAATATATAAGCTTTACAAATAAGTCAAATTTGTTTTGCTTCTAACTTCATTTGCCTGATTTTGCATTAACCTTTATTTATGGACATGAGTGTATTATGAAAGATAGGTTTGTTGAGTTCAAAATTAAGGTAGCTGCTTCTTTGACCAACTTTTTTAAATGCTAGTAATTAATTGCAAACACCATGTAACGCACCTTCTGTAATTCGATGTACATATGCTTGCGAAATCGGACCACTTTATGTTCCATTATACCATTTGTCTCAAGAATTATGACAATTTGTCATATTTTGTTTCGTGCTGTAATTTTGAGCAATTTAATTACTGCTAAGAATTTTAACTGCTCTGATAAGATAAACAACTTCTGTATAAAGCACTTGCCAGTATATGCTAAGCTGTCTAATCTCTTGGATACTTCTGCGTCATCTCCATCACTATAGCCTATTACTTGAAAATGAAGGTTGTTTTATGCCGCCTGATTGGATTCGTAACCATGGGAGCAACAGCTGCAGAATAAAGATCCAATTAGTTATTCTTTCCCCTCTTCTATTCCCTTTACTCTATTTCATTTCATGAAATGTGGGTGAGTGATGGTTACAGCCTCAAATGATGCGGGGAAAATAAATGCTGTGCGTTGCTAATGTCACGCGCTACTATCGCAAATGAGGTGGTAGCAACGGCCTTGGAGAGCCTGTTTTAGAGTAATAGACCATAATATTTGTACCTCAACATGAATATCAAAAGCCGATTGGCTATTTGTATATTATGTTTGCTACTCGACAATACGGATGTTATAGAAAAATCATATGGTTTCCTACTCTGTTGACATAACACTTAAAATTTTTTTAACAGTAATATACTAATATCTATAAGCCCTGTACATTTTGCGTTGTGTTTTCGGATTAACCCTGAAATCAACTTGAGAATGAGAAGGGTGAAAATCATGAGCACACACACAAAAATTTAACCTTTGAATGATGTAGAAAAACTTATTTATTTAACTATTAATGCCAATTATAAATATATATATATCCATTAGTAAAAAAAAATATCAAAATATATTCAACAAAATTTGAACTATTGTTTTACACATTTTACATCCTTGTAATTACTATTAAATTTAATATTGCAAATCTGGTAAAACATACCAAAATAAACTATAAATTTAAGAAACACTACCCTCCCCGGGGAGAAAATAATAAAAAAAAAATTTAACAAGCTACACTTTCTACTTCACACAGAATTCATCAATACAACAAAAATATTGCTTAATATTGCACTCAATATAATCATTTAAATACTATTATTGCACATAACAATTTTATTTATTTAATTTTTTTTCTTAGATTAATTAAATATGGTTTTAACCGGATAAGATAAGTATTGACACATTTACTATTCTACAAACAAGTTCGTCCTGAGAAACAAGAATGCTCTAATACAAGCACTATTTCAAATCATCCTCACCAATGAGTAATTAAAAAAAAAAACATTAAAGTAAATAATTTCCTGAAGAACTTAATTTTCTTAACCATTAAGTTAAGTTACAATAATTTTAATAAGGTTATAAATCTTTATTCCATTTAATGCCTTTACTTGATTGATACACCAAAGAAAAATGATTTCTATAGAGTTAGGATAAAATTATCAACTACAAAAAAAAAATTTAGGGTTCAACAAATTAACAAATTAATTCAATTCATTTTAACTGCAGGAAATCTATAATATTTAACTAACCAAGAATTAACCAAAAAGAAAAAAGGAACTTATCTGTTAAGGATCATCAAACAAAAGAAATCCATCGAAGCTCATGAGGAATGCTGGCAGCCTGTTGAATGAAAAAAAAAAAATGTTCGTCGAACAGTTTGGATTCAATTACTGTAGCCTAGAAGTTCTAGTAGATTTTAGGATGAACAATTGAGGTTCCATTACGGCAAGATAAGTGAAATACAGTGCTGGCGGCCTGTTGAATGGAAAAAGATGTTCGTAGAACAGTATGGATTCCTTACGGTAGCCTTGAAGTTCTAGTAGAATTTAGGATGAGCAAATGAGGTTCCAAAAGCAACGTGTTTAATTTATTCATTATGGTAGCCTTGAAGTTCTAGTAGAATTTAGGATGAGCAAATGAGGTTTCCAAAAACAACGGTTTTTAATTAACGCTCTGGTCTCGAGTGAAGCGAAGAATCAATGGTGCGCATCATTTTTCTAGAAATTTACTTCTGTATATTTTCCTTGAGATACACAAACACACACAACAAAAACTGATAAAGAATTTCGATTTGTTTTTTTTAAAGACATAGATGCCCATACCTACGGCCCGCGCTCACAGCGCTTAGCCAAGAGGCCCGTAGGCCTATCGGGAAGAAGCTCCATTTTCTTCGTCGGAGTCAGCTGTCGCCTCCGGCCAATTCAAAGAGCAACAGAAGTAAAGTGCAAAAAGTGTCAAAAAGTGAGCTCGTCCCCTAAAACAACCCGTTAAAAGGGAGAGCGCCGGACTGCCAAGTTGGCGCAACCCATTTTTTCGCCGAAAGTTGAAATAGTTGCAACCACAGCATACCCTCATGTTATCAAACTCG